TAGGTCACCCAACATGAAATTATTCGCTGTAAGTTTTACCATTAAATACAAATTATTTAAAAAATAAATGAATGTTTTTCCAGTGATTTTCAAACGTCATTACTTAATTTGAATAATTTATATTATATCACAACCAATTTTCTATTCTACAAAAATGGAATTTATATTATTGATCTTTTGTCTAAGTAGAAGAACTTACGTGCAAAATTTGACCATATTTCATAAAAGAACTTTTGCTTAATGATGTTTTTGCATAAACATGTTAAAGTTATAAATATATGATGGAGTCTAAATCTTAATATATCTCATTAAAGAAAAAAGTGCGATAAACTACGAGGTATTTTTAAGTTACATCCACTTTCTTCAAATGAGACTTACTTCATGCTTCAAAAGTACGATAACATCCACTTTCTTCAAATGAGTCTACTTCATGCTTCAAAAGTACGATAACATCCACTTTCTTCAAATGAGTCTTACTTCATGCTTCAAAAGTACGATAACATCCACTCTCTTCAAATGAGTCTTACTTCATGCTTCAAAAGTACGATAAAAATATAAGCACAAAATTGAAAAATCTAGTAACAGATTGAAAAATGAGAAAAATATATATATATACACTAAGGTTGATTTAGGAGAAAAAACAAATATCAGATATTAATATGCACAGAATGCTCATACTTTTTAGTAATAAGTTGTAAAAGTATCTAAAGCTTTTTCGAACAAACTTTATTTCCTGAGAAATCCAGAAAAATCTTACTACTTTGGAGAGCTTCCTCGGTTTCAGTGGCTTGGAACACTAAACACTGGGTTTCGATACCCATTTGTGTACCATTGTGCTTAGTAACAAACAAATAAATACTTTGGAGAGAAACTAGAAACTAACGGTCCTTTGTACAAACTCCCAACAACTTATATGGATTTTTCTTTAAAAACTCCATTTTAGTGGTTTAATAACTCCTGGTTGAAATATTTTAATTTGTTATCATTGTCACAAGACTTGTCTATTTGCACATTTAAAATAATTTTGATATAGTATATTCAGCCCTCTGTGTATCTCCAAAATAAATATAAACTGAAATAACACGGGAAAGGAGACTTTATGCGAACAACCATCAGCATTTCTCCGAACAATCAAGTTCACCCTCTCTTTAAAGCTTTTGATCTTCTTTTAATCTCTCTCAAATTCATCAACAGCACTGATAAGATTACCTATGCTCTTAACATCTGTGATCAACATTTTGTCCTCTTCTTTTATCAGTTTATTTTGTTAAGTTTCAACACAGCTTTCAGTACTTCTCAAAATATATTTGAGACCCAAACACATTAAATTAATCGCATAATTTGAAATATATAATATTTGATTTTTAAAATGAATTTAATTAGATTATCACGCATTTCATATCAATCATAATTTTCCTCTTTTTAAAAGAGTTATCAGCTGCTTTAAAGCTTTCATAACCTCGACTAGTTAAATCTTCAGTTTCATTGCTATTTGTACAAGCCAGTCTCGTAGTAGACTGTAGACTATTTCATAGCCAACTATGTTATGGTTTTCAGATCTTACGTAAAAGAAAACAGATAAGAAAAATCTCGTAGAAGCAATCCTGGTCACAACAAATATGAGTTCTTTCGTATTTAAACAGTCCATGTCTTAATTGAAAACGTAATAGAAACTGCCTGATGTCAATGCAGTTTGTCCTATCCTAACAGAAAGTGAAAACGTATGGCATTGTTACTCATGTCAATGTTTGTACATTACCTTTTCTTTAATTCTTGCTTAGCGGCGCAAACAACAAGCATTTTTTCCCCCTTTTGATATCGAAGAGTTTTATCGTTTTTGTTTTTTTAATTCAGTCACCTGTAACAAAGAGCACAAATATTACTAGCCTGATTTATAAATAATTAAAGATAGCTACCATTTAAATCACCAAAAGGCATGAGCTGGTTATGGATCAAAAAGTAATAGAAATAGCAGAGATTTAATGCTGACTGAAAGTTAAATCAATAAACAAATTCAAAGATCAATGTACTTATATATATATATATATATATATATATACATTAAAATTTATTTCACATAACAGTATATATTTATAATTAATATTGTATGCGATTATAAAGTGATTGTCGGAATTTAAAACATATATTCTTCTTTTTGCCAATTGTCAAAATAAAAAGGCTTTTAGTTATATTTCTTAATAGTATAAATAAATATGTTGTTGCTGGGCTTAGAATTCTTCTGCAAAAGGTGTCTGTGACTTGTTTGCAATAAATTCAATGATAAATATATAGCACGCACTTCACTTGTTTTGAAAATAATATATATATATTGGGAAGAAGTTAAACGTATGTACAACAAATTCTTCAACACTATAGATATTATAGGCATATCATAAACACTATACATGTAGTTTTCTCCTTCTTGTCAAAAGTCCACTTAGGCCTATTAAATTACTTTAGAATTTTAGTTGACAAGCCGAAATATCTTCTCTATTACTATCACACTAGTATTCTGTGTGATTCACTTACAACTGTGGCGCGAGTTACCGTAATCGTTTGGTCTTTTTCTTTTGAAGATCCTCTGTTCCTTTTGTTAAAGTGCACTCAGGCTAATTCAATTACTTTAGAACCACGCTTTGATGGAATAAATTATTTTCTTAACTCCTTTTCCACTGTTAGTCTTCAACAAATTATATGTTAGGCCTATGTTAATCGTTAGGCCTATCACTCCTACGGTAGTTAACTTCACGCCGAACGTTTCTTGCCCGTAACTTTGCTCTCTTTCGCTATTATCGGTCTGCTATTGTTCGTCTCTGCTTCCTGCTGTTATCGCTATTTATATCTTTATCACCTACTCGTCTTTCTGCCTTCAATATATTCAATATTGCACGTGACGTTCGATAGTCTCAACATCAATGAATTATTAACAAAACTTTCTACAATCGTCTGCTTTTAACTCTTATTATAACAAAAACTAGACAATAATGAAATATTCACTCACAAAAATAAATTTATCAATAATATCTAGACTAATCAGTCTTTTATATCATGGCAGTAATTGCAAGTAAGCCTAGTAGATTTAGCTCACAAAACATCACAAGAAAAAGACATGCTGTCATCCTTAACATTTCAAACATAAGCCCAGTTTTCATTGTGTGTAGGCGGCGTTTCCAGATCAAAGTGACAATGTATTTAATTAATAAGAGAAAGAAATGTAAGTATAAATGTTTGGTTTCACGTCTTACAGTTTCTTTTTGTAATATACTAATACAACATTTGCATGTAAAATATTTTATAGTAAATTGGCATATTTTACACAATTGTAAAATATACTTGTGTTAATTTACAGCACGACTTCTTCTACAGTGTCATACATTTTTGTGTCAGTTGTCACTTGGAAGTGACATATAGTTCAAAATACTCTAAATTGTTCAAGAAGCATGATTACACCTAACAGACGACATCTGGATGTTTTACTCATGTGGAGAGCCATTGGATAAACGAAAGGTAGTTAATGAAAGCAGATTGTTGTAAATTAGATTTAAGTATTTTAAAATGTTGTTAACAGAATGTGAATCTGCTTCCTAATCAACGGTAGGATTATTCATAAACCTAAACAAGAGAAACAATCATTCACAACATATGCAGGCGAGCTATTCGTGGATTCTGGCTTGCCGCAATTATCGAATATAGGATTTGAGACTTATTTAAATGTCTGTAGCCGTATAATAGTGCAGATAATTAGAAATAGTTTTGATAAACTTGTGAAGCATTCCGCTCATAGTGTAGAATAAGATGGGTCAACATTTACTTCACAGGGGAGTAATTGTTCACCATGTAACCAGATAACAGGTGTATACTCGTAAGGAAATAATTTTGGATCAGGCCTAACTCATATTTATACAGGAACAAACATAATGTGTTGTATGTGGCAGTGTTGGAAGTATGACGTGCCCAGGAATAAGCACTTAAACTAACGGGCGTCTTTTTTCGGCAGAATAGTGTGACTAATGTTAAAAACGAAAATTATCCTACGAGACCATTTCTGCTATTACACTATTGTGTAATTGGTCCTGACTTCAGCCAAAGGGGTGATAACGTGCTAAAATGGACGACGTATTACTTGAAGTAGAATAGATTGACCATATGGAGTATTCTTCACATTAACTAGACTTCAATTTAACCAAACATGTATAGGATGTTCCTGGGAGACGTGTCACATTCCATCACGTGTTTCCAGGCGCTAAAAATATACTGTCAACTTTTTCAGAGGCGTGATCAAGAATAACTCAGAACCCTATCAACACTTTTATTTTAAGCCCAGAATATTTATGGCAGACTGTCCTTACTGTTTGTTCTCCATATTGAAATGAATGATATCATGAAGTATACAGACTTAAAAACTATATCTACCAAATTTTCATTTCCTTGAGAAGGCTGAATGATCGATCATTTGCATTTTAGATTACATGAATGATAATAAAATTCATAAGTATTTCGGTGTGTTTAATTAATGATATTATCTTATAACACTTGTTTGGCCTATTGCGGTCATAATATTACAAATTCCTAATGTAATTGTTTTGAGCGACAAATTTCAGAAATGTGTTTGGTAACAGTCTCACTTTTTGACGACGCCATATATCGATTGCGATTCATATTTACTTTCGGATTTAATAAGCTTAAACTTTAAGACAATAAATAAATTTGGAAACAGCTTTTTTTACTAAATAAACCCTGGCTTCTGCATATTGATTATTATATATATCTAATTTCTGTTCTTCCTCTCTTGGGTGAACATCAACGAAAGCTTTATTTTCATTTCATTTTATTTTTGTGGTTTGTTAGCATGTTATTTATCTTAAATTATTATTATAATGAAAATGTGTTACTTTCTAGTATTTCTTTTTTTTTTACTTCGAGACAGGTTAGAGGTCTATTTTATGTGTCTGCGAAGTTAGTATGGAAATTGTAAAAACTAAAATCAAGGTTAGGGTTAAGGCGTTTCATATTTTTAAAGAGTATTTTGCGATAAATTGTGTACGATAAAACTCTTTAAGTAGGTGAGTATTTCGCTTTGGTGAAATATTTAACAGAAAGAGCATCTCATTTTACTATGTTGTTATTATTAATAATATACCGTTATCGTTTACAAAGTAATGTGATATCGATTAATTTAGGGTTTAGACTATACAACATCACAAGATGCAGTGCAGTTTATACTTTAACTTGAGCTCGCAAGTGAAAGACGCTAATAGTAATAATATATATATACATAAACATATTACTTTCTTTATTAAAAAACAAGTATCAGTATCATAAATGTATCCGGATATGCAATTGACTGTAGATATTATATTACTAGGCCTAAGTGTAACTATAAAAATTCATAGGATGGTATACATTAACTAGTCTAGCTTAAAAAGTTGCTAACGAACTTTATACTTATAGGCCTTTTGTTTACATTTTAAAGTTTGTCGTTTTAGCACAAATTAAAGTATTTTAGGCATCTTTGAATATATTTCAGACCTCAGAATAAACAATAATTTTACCCCGACGTGATAGATTAAAGCTAACATCTTTAGCTTATTTGTATTTGTACATGTCTATTGCAGTGGTGTTAAAACACCTAATCTAGTGTGGAATTTGTCCTTTTATGCCTAACACCGTAACAGAATGATTAAAATCGCATTTGACTTTACATTTATTCCTTTTTTTTTCAATAGTGTTAATTAGACCGTTACAGTTTTTAAAACAATTGTGCGTAAAAACACCAATTAAAAAATATGGTGTGTGTCACAGTTACGGTCCAGGAGACCTGTTGTTCAGGCTAAGTAAAAGCAAACAACATATCATGATGAACGTAATTTCTTTTTTGATATAACTTACAATATAAAGATGTAATATACTTGTATTGCAAGTGACATCCCAGACAGGTTATCACACCTTTTCAGTCATTTTTCAGAAATAAGAACGTAATTAAATGTGTGCATTGAGAATGCAAAAGGAACAATGATAGACTGAAATTTTAATATTAGAAATAATGCGGCATTTTCAGGATAAACTGATTTCCTTAAAGAGTGTTGGGCAGGTTCACTTTGTAACGGAAGGATTGGCAGAATAAATCAGTGGTTCTCAAACTTTTTGAATCCACGGAACTATTTTGGCGTCAAATTTGTGTGACTGAACCCTTCACAACGTTCATTACCAAAAACATTACTGCAATACTGTATCTATAATTCCAGACAGAGTACGTATGTTTAATACAGCTCTACACTCACACACATACATCCAAAGTATTAAAATTTCTCGAGGCAATTACTCGGACACACACACACATAACGAGAAACCTGCTTTCTGAAATAATATAAGTTTACATGACTCAAGCACCTGTTTATACCTAGTCTCGCTCGCTATTTCAAGCTAGTATGTGTTTATGTTTTAGAATATGCGGAATTCTTGCATTCTGCGGAACCCCAATATCTCTCAGAACCCCTGGATGTTTGTTGAAGAACCCCGGTTCAGAAACACTGGTATAAATCATGGAGTAATATTGAATTTAACAAAAGTAGCTAAATTAAAGTTAAGAGATAAACAGACTGGGCACACTGTGTAATACAAAATAATATGAATCTTTATTTATCACTAAGATGTCTTTCTGTCAATTAACTCACTTGATATCCCATGTACCACAAGGTTGTTAAAAAATTTTATTTAAAAAGAGGGAATGGGGAACTTCAAAAGAAACAAGATAGGTAGCTTAACTTAGAGTGAAAATGCAATCGCCAAAAAAAGTAAACATTTAAGCTTAAGGTTTGAGACATAATGTTGACAACATATCCTCAAGCTACAAATCCCCATTTTGACTCCTTGCCTAAAAGCTGTAATATTTAAGAGAGTCAAAATAGGTATTTGTAACTGGAGGATATAATGTTCTTTTAAGATCCCTATTCCTCCATTTTAAATAAGCCATTTTTTAAGAATTTTGTTTCTTTTGTTTTATTTATGTCCATCATGGACATAAATTTGTATAATAACAATACTGCTTTATTTGAAACAGTTTAGATTAATGAAATACGTAGTGTATTATGCGCTCTTGGGAAAGAATGACAACCTTTGGTTTGGCTTCATGGAAATTGGAGGGCTATTGCTCCTGATATAATAGCCACAGTGTTATGGATAGTCATGCTGCATGTATGATCACAATGATGCATGGTGATCAACATACCACATGTTAATTTAACTATATTTGTACCCTGTAGTTATATGGTGAGTCTGATTGGAGGGACTACTGAACTATACCGGAATGGTTCATGGACTGAATTTTGTAGCCGCATAAGTTTTATATATGTATGCACATACGATGCATGTTGGCTGGTATTGG